GGGATAACATGAGCAAGGGTATCAGTTACGTGAGGCAGAATTTGACCACTGAAGGACTGGGCCTGATTTTCACTAAATACTTATGAGCTCTGCCTTTTACCCCAAATTACCCTCGGTAAGAGTTTTCCTGTTGGATGATGAGCAGTGGAAGCATAGGGCTCATGTTTCCTCCAGGAACCTATTCCTTAAGTCTGAGGTTGTTCCAGAGTTATTCTCTGATGTAGTCTTTGCTGCACAGAGACCTTCTTTGTTCCCTTAAACAGGTGTTTAAAAAAATTTCTTTAGCTCTTTGATGTTCTAACTGCTTCGTGGCCCATGAGCCCCAGAGTAACTAATCTGTGTACAGATCTCAGTACATCTTCATACCAATTGCGCTTCTGCTCCTCCATTGCCACTTCAGAATAGTTTCTCTCAGGAAGCTGGAATTCTACCTTTACACCACAGGAAGAGTTAGAGGAATTCTGAATGCTATCCACCTTCCAAAACTTTGCCCAAGCAAAGGCAGTGTCTCCTTTTCACCCCAACCATGGTCTGCTCTGCACCTGGCTGCTGAGGCAAAGGCCACAATACTGGTCCCAAAGAAGACACTATCGGACCTGTCTTTCTTGATGGGTAGCTGCCCACTCTTCGTGTCATGCCCAATGGCTGAGACCATCACTGCCAGGAATGGCAAGATACCACAGAAGCCCTATCAATCTGTCCTGTCTGTCCTGAGAAATGCGACCAAATTTGCATCTGCCTTGCCTGCTGGGAGCACAGCACACTATCTCTGACCCCACATTCCTCAAGGCAGCAAACTCCTCCCTTCCCCTTTAAATCCTTTGTTCTGCCTTGGTTTCCTGCTGAATTCTCTCTCTGAACTCAGGCCATTCCCATGGGAGTGAATAAACAAACATGGTTACTTACACAGAGCCTGCTCAAGTGGTCTCTCTTCCCTCTGTACCTTTCACAGTTTGCTGCTGGCCTTTTACCCCAGGTTCTCTGTTCAAGTGAGAAACTAGGCCCACCAACTCCTTGTAACTTCTGGATCTGCAACAGCATCAGTGAACCAAGTAGCAGACCCAGAAATGCTGCCATTTTCTTGTTCCACTGTGGGAAAGCCAAGCCATAGGTTCTGAGATGTGCAGGGTAGTGAGGTTTCTGAGGAATGTGTTGTAATATGGAAAACATACTTGGCTTGGAAAGAAATACTCATTCCACATGTACCATCTTAATTCCAGGATCTCTGCCAGTGGAGCCACAGCAAATCAGAATAAAGGGACACTGACAGCTAATTCCCAAAGTGCATATTAACCTTACTTTCCCAAACCTTTGGCCCTGCCAAAGAATGAAACTTCTCACAATGACCCTGGCCTGTGGTGGAGTTAGAAAACAGAGGACTTTCCCAAGGCTTGGTGGAACTCCAGGTGTTCTGCTGATGGAGTCTGCCCTTGTAGCACTGCAGTACAACCTTCAGACTTGACTGGCCCTGAGTTCCTGTGTAAGACTGCCACTGACCAGCCAGGTGGCCCTAGCGACTTCCTTGAGAGAGATGACTCTGAATTTCCTCCTATGTAAACTTGGCACCTACCTTATAAGACGGGTTCAAAAGTTGGAGACAATGCATAAAGACAGCCACCAAATGATCTTGCATAATTTAGGCACTCAGTAAATGTCAACTGCTACTCTTGTTTACCTTGTGGAGCTTGGACTCTCTCGTTTTCCCAGAGTTTTCCAAACAACTGGAGTGTTCTAGGACCCGGCAACTCCATCTGGTTTCACATTCATCCTTGCAACTAAACTGCAGCTTTCCTACTCACTTCAGGGAAACTCTTCAGGGGTGGGACCAGCTTAGATTTCAGATTTACAGAGCAAAAGACTCACATCTTGGGGCTGGAGATTTAGCTCAGAGGCACAGCACCTGCTTGGCAAGTGCAAGGTCATGAGTT